AAAATTGATATCATTGTCGCTTAAATGTCGGCACTATTATGTCGCTAATTATTGTTTTGTGTGAAACAATTTTATTTTTTTGTCCATTACAATACTAATACATTATTATACTATTGTGTTATTATTATTATTTGTATTTTTAGTATTTTTAAATTTTATTTAATACTGTATTGTATTTATTACTATTATTATTATTATTATTCATTGCCATTGCATTGTCCCTTAAACTCTGTGTGCATTTCCGGATCAATGTGTGTGTGTGTGTGTGTGTGTGTGTGTGTGAGAGAGAGAGAGAGAGAGAGAGAGAGAGAAGTCACTTATATAAAACAACTATAATAAAAACATATATTATTTGTCTCAATTCACACATACATACATTTATGGATAAACCTATGGGAAAGCCCTAATTGACTTCTCCATACAATTTTGTTTCATAACAATACAACCGTTCTCTCTCTCTCTCTCTCTCTCTCTCTCTCACTCTCTCTCTCTCTCTCTCTCTCTCTCTCTCTCTCTCATCTCAATTTGAAATAAAGGCTTTATGTTTATATAAATTTTTTTATATGRTATATATATATAAAAATAAAGTGCACACGAATTGTATTAATAATATACTATACGGTATATACGGTATAGTAATAAATTTAAAATAAAAAAAATAGTTTTCAACACAATAGGTCAGACCCGGGAAAGAGAGAGAGAGAGAGACCCCTTTATTCGCCCGGCATATACAGGATATACCTATTAATAGTTACAACCCGGCCTTTATATAGTTGATATACTGTACCATATATACAGTATTTAAAAAAACTAAATGGTATTTTATATTAATTTATTATTATTTTTTTTTTCTAAAGGTCTAACATATTATAATTGTGTTTTATTGTGTGTTAATAATGAATTATGCAAATACACGTTAACATACTGTATATATATATACAGTATAAAATATTTTTATGTGTATTAAATACACGCTTTTATATCTTGTATATAGTTTGTACATTAAAATTATTTGAAATTTTTTATTATGAGTGTGTGTGCGATMATTAAAAAGCCATAATTAATTGTTATGACTTAATATAAAGAAAAATATTATTAATAATACTGTAATAATAATAAAAAGAAAATATTACACAACATAGATGTATATATATATATATATATAGCGTATATACAGGTATGGCCAGGTATTGTACTGTTATTCTATATATATATATATGAAAAAATAACAACAAAATAACAATACAAACAAAATAATAATAWTATTTTTTTTATATTCTGTACATACAAACATATTTACATATATTATTATTATTATTATTATTATTATTATTATTATTATACATAATATATGGGACCCTAAATGAAAATGTTAACAAAAATATATTTTTATATACCGTATTGTATAATGTATTAGTGTATTAGTAATGTATTGTGTGGCACACAATAATTTTCCGCATAAATTAATTGTTACAAACACATTGTCTATATTTATATATATATACTGTATTTTATTAWTAATAATAATAATAATAATAATAATCAAAAATTGCAATCATTAAAATTAAAAAAAGAGACGGTATAATTGAAATCGTGATTTAATAAACATCTTATATAACCTATATATACTGTATATAAATTTTATTATTATTATTATTATTGCTATTGCTATATATCTATCAAAAATATTGTTTTGTTATTTATAAAATAATATATATATATATATATATTAYAGTGTATTAATAATATACGSTATGTCTAAATAATAATCAAAAATTGAATTGTTATTATTAGTATTAAAAAAAAGTAATAATAATTTCAATTTGCTATATTTGCTTCATTAAACATTTAATAAAAACTAAGCAATAAAAATAAAATTTAAAAAATACAAATTTTGATTTAATAAACAATATATTATCTATCTATCCTCTTTTTTTTACAAAAATATGATATGTTAATTATTATAATGTATATATATATATATATTTAATATTTTGTTAGTGTCCAAAAAAGCTAAATATTAATAGATACTGTATTTGCTATCTATGATAAAATCAAATTATCAACAACAAAAAATTCACAAATGGGAAAATTTATTGGAGCACTTAATAAAAATTGATAATAAAAATTATAAGTAAACTATAAAAAACACTTAATAATAAATAAATTTAAATAAAAAATATTTTGGGATTGTCTCTTATCCATTTAATATTATACAATATATATTTATATATAGTATTTATATAAATAAGATAACTGAGACTAATTTTAATTTCCTAATTAGGAGATTATACTGTAAATATTTATAGTAAATAAAATAGTACTGTATATACTGTATTTTTAAAAAAACTATTTTATTTTTTTTTATAAATAAAATAAAATTAAAATATTGATACGATATTAGCTTATCATACGCTTACTATACAGTATTATCTATTGACGACACTAACTGTTAGACATTATTTAATATATGTGGTGTGTATACGGTATAACAAATTAGTTTATTTTTGTCTGATAGCAAAAATTTTTTGCTTCAAACATATATATATAATACTGTTTAAAATTAATACATCAGTATAGTTATGCCGACATATACTATACTACACACATACACACACAYACACACACACACACACACACACACACACACCTATGAAGATAAAGATAGAGAAAGAGAGAGAAAAAAAAGTTTGTGAATATATATTTTCGGTGAAAAAAATCCAATTTAATTAATTAGCAAAAAATATTTTTGTTCACCAGATTTTTCACGGAAAAAATGCATTTATTTTGTGTTGAATTAGAAAAAAAATAAATACTTATCCATATCCATAAGTGGTGGTGATGGCTATCAGTAACCAGAGAGAGAGAGAGAGAGAGAGAGAGAGAGAGAGAGAGAGAGAGAGAGAGAAAAAAAAGGATAGCTTTAGTGGTGGTGATGGCATAAAGGCAATAAACTACCTGAGCTTTCAACTCACGAGAAACAGAGAGAGAGGGAGAGAGAGAGAGAGAGAGAGAGAGAGAGAGAGAGAGAGAGATTGAAAGTGACGGACAGCCCTATCTATCACAGCTATACATATATCATGAGCGCCTTTAGTATAAAAAGGGTATATCCACTTATATAGACAATATACTATACTATACTACAGTATAATATACAATATTGAAGATCTTTATAATAGTTTATATACCTTTTATTTTGAATTTATTTATTTTTTTGTTGAGAAAAATGTTTATCCATAAGAAAATTAGACTCATTTTGTGTGTGTGTGTGTGTGTCTGTGTTAAAAGATTTTCGTTAAAAATAACTTTTTAAAAAAATCAAATAACATATACTGTATTCGTATTTAAATTTTTTTGTTTCAACAAAAAAAAAGATTTACTTTTGAAACAAAAAAAATTCTTTTCGGTATTTTTTCTCTCTTTTTTTGAAATAAACTATACTTTATTTTGTTGTTTTTGTTAGTTATTTTTTTGAGGGATAAAAATCAAGTTTTTTTAAGTTATTTATTTATTTTTACAGATAAAAAACATACAGTGAATAAAGTATATGCTTTTAAAAAGCATTTTATTATTATGTATTTAGTCTTTTGTTTCTTAACATTGAATTTTTGTATATAAAAAGTTTTTTTTTCTAAATACAGTATATATTTATTTTGACTTTTTTTAAAGAAAAAATTATAGTATTTTTGATGTTTTATATTTTGTCTGTTTAGTAATATATATAAGTATAATATGATATTTATTTATTTTTGAAGACATAATACAGTACTGTATTATTTATCTGAGAAAATATAGGTATTACTGTTAAACTGTTTTTAATGAAAATTTTTCTTAAAATATTTTAAATATATTTGTTGTTGTCTGGAAAAAACAACTGTTTTTACTGGTATTTCAATCAAACAAAAATTTTAAGACAATAAGCATATTATAGATGACATAATTTTTTTTATTACTATTATTAATATCTATTGAGGCATAAAGTTATGTAAACTAAATAAACAAAATAAAAATTCACAGACAGTTAGATAATTAATCTAAATGTTAAATATACTACAATATATTTCTATACAGTATTAATACAGTTATAATCTAATAAAATTAATGATTATATAAAATAGTTGTGTCTAATTATAAAATTAATTATATTTAAATATAAAAAAATAAATAAATATAAATAAAACTAAATATATAATAACTATAAATGTTATTATTATTATTCAAATTAAAATATTATAATTAAAAAAAATGCTTTTCGGACTCAATTAAAATCTAATATTTATAAGTTAATTACAAAAAAAAAACAAAAAATAAATAAAATAAATATTAGCTGTAATTATTTTGATGTCATTTACTGTATGTATAATTGAAAACTTTAAAAAAATTTGAAGTCAATTATCTCAAAACAATGGAGTTATTATTGCTTTAGTTTGTGATTACAATTTTGTTTTTTTTTCTTGTTGTTGAAAATAACTATTGAAAACTGTTTATAATTTATTTGTTGAACTGTATATATACAGTAAATCTTATTAAGTCATTTAAAAAAAATTAAATAATAATAATAATAATAATACTAATAATACAATGCAAATAACCTAACATTATTTATAAATGATTGAATAATACAATTTGTATTATACAAATCCATGGCCAACAACCCCTACCTCATATATACATATATAAATTATATACAGTATATATATATAGACACATACTATACACATACACACCATATCATGTCTACCTGTGCACATGAGTGCACTGATATATCGCGTGCAGTCGATAACTGTCATGAATTGATATTACATAACATAATATTATAATATACTGTATATAACTTATAGTACTATATCTATACAACAACAACAGGTCATCAGTTTTTTTGTTTGAAAGTGAAAAACAACTCTTTTCTATGAAAATAGTATGCATAATATGGGGTGTATTTTTTGGGAACAGGTATGCAAAAACAGGTGCACTATAAAAGCTCTCATCCCTTTCCTTACCTTTACACGCATATCGGGCGTAATCTTACGGCTCTCGAAGTTCATGATTTCGTCTTTAACGCCGCGACGCGACAGAAACGACTTCATCGACACCCATGAAGTGTCGTTAACACCCATCAAACGGAGTACACCTTCAAGTATATCGCGTATAACTTCGGGCGGCGCCCGCAGCGACCGGATTTCCGATAACGATTCACTACGTATGGCTCCGACGGCTTGTTTGGCCTGCTGTAGGACCGGTTCGATTTGCCTGAGCTCGGCATCGATTTCTACTTTGCGCACCTGTAGCTTCTGGGTCTCCCGTTCCGTCCGTTCCCTGATCTCTTCCAATTCGACTTTCTGATCCTCCGCCCCATGCATTGAATTGGTAATCAAATTCAACGCATCGTCGGCTTCCTGTCGCTTAACRGCCAACAGTTCCCGTTGTTCGGTAGCCTCCGYTCTTAGCTTCTCTACCTCAGTGCTGGCATCTTCCAGTTTGGCCACACCTGTCCGCAAATGTTCCCTACGTTTTTCAATTTCAACCGACTTATCGACATAGATCTGTTCGACAATCCGCAGGAATGCCATGTATTTACGTGACTCCTGTTTTTCGGCAACCAATTGTTTAGCAAATAAATTGTAAATAGTATAAAACTTTTTGGCCAATTCCTGGTCACCACCGCCGGTGTTGTTGTTGTTGCCGACAATATCCGGTATCAACAGTTGCGGAAACTGTACGAGCGAACCACTGGACCACATGGGACAGGTATGTATGTGACACACACGGCCCCACATTTGTTCGGCAATGGCGTTGTATTTGTTGAGAACAAGTACTACCCGAACAATGGATCTACTGTTACTTTCGCTGAGCATACGATATATACTGTCTCTGAGATGTGTGGTCAGCTTCAGGTGAATTTCGTCGACAATTATCAACACTTTTCTATCGCCAGTACCTCTGTCTTCATCGCTGGCGCTGCCACTACCACCGGTCAACAGTGTTGTCAATTCGGAGGATAATTGCTTCTCATTGTATGCCTGTTTAGGCCACCAGACTGTGTCGTAGCCAAAGGCGTGACTAATGGCCCGAACGGCCAATTTTCTACCTGAACCGCTGCTGCCCAACAATACCAGTCCTTTCACTAGTTTATCATCATTATTGGCATCCTTGAGAAACGTCGTACACTCGGCAAACAGGGCTATCGTTTCGGGTATTATAGCCAACTGTGGATCCTGTATCTCGGTTTCGTTGACCAACGAACTAACGGTGCGCTTAATATGCCCAACAAACTGGTCACTGGTTTGAGCTGTCAACTTAGCCGTACCGTTGAGACTAACATAGACTATCGATTTGTCAGCAGCCGTACCAAACACTGAAGTCAGTGCTGAATTTAGTATGTTTTGGCCGCMAGTGTTCGGGTCAACCGTCATCTGAGAGCCTAATGCACGTCCAAACTCGTACCGCATGACACTGTTATCGACATCGCTATAATAATTGAGCGAATCGATGATCTCTGCGCCCACACGCAGCCAATCAATAGGTGTTTCCTCGTTATAGGTCTGCAATTCGCTGGAATGACAGATTCGGCCAAAAGAYTTGACAAACARCTGTCCGTACGGACAGTTGTTCGGCATTTTGGCCATAAAAATGGTCTCCAACTCTGGGGCCGGCGGTAGATCTACCTCTACGACATGCATCAGCGATACTAGTCGTGTGTCCAGACAACTATAGTGAGCACAGGTGGCCACCACCTGGAAACGGGTCATCTGGATCCAGTCGTGACTGACATTGTCGTACAGTCCACCGTAAGTGATGAGCTGAGTAAGAAATGCAACMACCGATTTGGTGGCCCATTTGTCAGCAGTCAATAGATCCATATTTTTGACAAATATGCAGATCTTGTTGTTGGTGGCCGAACGCATCACTCTTGACGATCCACTGGTGCTCATCGTACAGGAGCTCTTCAATGCATTGACAATATGTGTCGAACTGGTATCGGGCGTRCAGTTAATAGTAACTACCGAACCGGTAGATAATACGGTATGAGCGGCCAGCGCTGTCTTTCCGCAGCCTTTACGACCGGTAAACAGCACGTGACCACCACCGGTGCTGCCGCCGCCTCCGCTGTCGTCAATCCACGGCTTTACTAACTCAACGGCTTTCTGGACAGTCGGTGTTTGTATGAATTGTCCTAAAAAATATCAAATGTTAATCCATTAGAACTTCGTTAGTTCCGATAGGAAATACACATAAATTTAATTGTTTGGATAAACACCTGATTTGACTTTCATRGAYGCATCCATTAGCGGTAAATTTCTCTGAACCCGAAGTACACCTTTGACGGGATCCGTGTCCTCGTGTTTTGCATATTCAATATGCGACAACAGTGTCCGGGTTAGCGATATAGCCAACCGTTGATCACCGGCATCGACATAGCGCTGAAGTTCATCAGCCGAAACGCGTACATCCAGTTGCCGAAGACCACTGGTCAACAGTTCTGGTGCTTTCAAACCGTTGACACAGACAACGCCCAAACGGGAGATAGTGGCCGGCGATGCAAATTCCAGTGACGTAACTTCAAACAACAGATTACAACGTTTCGGATCAAAATCGATACGTTCGCCGGTGGGCAGCGTTAGGATACGGTTGTCGTCCAATACTGAATTGAGTGCTTCCACCCAATCGGGATCAATGTCGCCGTCGAATAGCAGCCAAAACTGTCCACTAGTTGACTCGTCGCGCGCTATTTCCCTGGACTTATGTGTCAGTAGGCCGTCGTGCCATTCCCGAGTCTCGTCGTCTACGTAGCCCAACAGTTCCGTCCGCGGCACGGCTTTCGGATTGATGATCACAGTAGTAGTAGTAGTAGTAGTAGTGGTGGTGKTGTTGTTGTTGTTGGCCGAGTTCATGTCGACCAGCCGACGGGCGTCTTTGAGTACCTTCCACAGTGTAGACTTTCCGGCACCGCTCTGGCCAACAATGACTACGCCCAGTCGCGACCGTAGCTGTTCGTCTAATTCGACGATTTTGGTCATCTGTACCTATGGACATACATTATATATAAAAAGGACAGTTAGATAATTAGATAACTTTCCTTAAATGTTTTATAATTGTTTGTGTGATTTATTTTTAAATTACCTCATCTAAAACCAATCGTTTTTCTTCAATAACTTTGATAATACACTTTGTGAGCTGATTTCGGCCACCAGTGCCGCCGCCAGCTTCTGAAGCCGCCGCCCGTTCACCGAAAACATCGACCAACAGTGACTCAAACTTGTCGACATCTTCGTCGATTAGTTTCGACTTAATCTGTTGGCGCAGTGTATTGGTCACCAAATCTACTTCCCGATCGTCGACACCACCGCCACCACTACTACCCGATGCTTTTGCTTCCTGTCCACTAACACTTGTTGTTTCCCGGAGCGCTCGACCGCTAGCTTCCAGACACGTTTTGATTGCCCGCAATCCCCAATCGTAGTGGCGCTGATGTGTCATACAATCGCGGGCCAACTCAAACCAAATGGTCAATTTTTGGCCCAATGTTTGCGACGACACTAACCCGAACCCTTCGGCCAGCAACAGTACCTTCGAGATAATTTCGTTGTCGGGCACCGACATGGCTATCGGCAGGAACAGCGACTTGAGATTATCGGGCAACCGATTGCGTCCTCCATACTGTTTGCCGGCCGGATTTAGTGTAATAAATATGGCGGTAAACGTATTGATATCGACCTCGCCTACCGGTGCGCAAAAAATACATATAAAAACTAGTGAATTATAGGTAGATATTAGTTATACATACCGTATTCGTTTAGCAAAACACTTTTCGACTTGTTTTTGATGGCCCACTGTATGGCCTGTATTTGGGAGGACAGGGCCGACAGTACGTCCAACTGTAGCCGATTGAACTCATCGAAACAACCCCAGGCGCCACACTTGATCAGTCCAACTAGTATTCGGGTCATGGCCTTGACATCGATGGCTTCGTCACAGTTAAATACCATTACTTGTCGGCCTAAATGCTGTCCCAGCGCTTTGACACTTTCGGTCTTACCGGTACCGGCCGGGCCATAGGGATTGCCTCCTAAACCCATTTCCATAGCTATTATACATAAAATATTAAACAACAAAAATTAATTTTTATATAATTAATTTATATTCATTTATGGATAGGCCCTATACCCTGGGTTAGTGTTAGGTAGCATTTGTCGGTAAGCGGTGTGTGGACCAGTTTGGAACCACCGAAACAACCGAGATATTCAAAACTGTACTCAAACGACGAGTTACCCATTTGGACAGTCAGTAGGCCATTCGTACGGCGCTTATTGGCGTAAAATCGGAGCTGTCTTTGCCAGACCCAGTCTTCCGGGTCGCGAATATTTGTGTCCATTAGTTCGTCCATTACCGACAAAAAGTGTATGGTATCGAGTATCAGTGACTTGATTTTGATGGCCAATACACTAGTGTCGACATTACTACTACCGCCGACATCCATGTCCTGTCCAGTGGTAAGCGATATTAACTCCTTTTCAAAGTCGACTTTCAGCTCCGGTATCGAATGTCTGCGTATCCCTTCCTCGACTCGTTGGGTAAATAAAACCCAATTTACAAGACTAAGCAACTGTGCCGGCAGTTCCCATACATGATGGCCACCGCTGCCGCTATTCGACGACGACATCATTACTTCACTTTGCGACAGACCATCGAAAAACAATTCCTTCAATGATGTCTTCAGTTGCGTCTCTAGATTTCGGAGCCACAGCTCGACACCGGAGGCACCTCTGTTGGACTCTATAACCACCGGGTGTTGCAACGGTACGACTTCACCTTCTGGCGACTCGACACTGACTACCGATTTGTTGTTGCCATCCAAATGAATCCGACAAACGGTATTGTTGAACAACTTTTTCAACAGTGTCGACTGATTGACCTCCACTTTGCCGGCCAGTATCAGCAACAGGTCATCGTCGGCAAGAAAATAGAAACGCGGGAACCGGGCTCTCGATTCTTCCATAAATGTCTGTAACTTTTTCTGGCACGCCGTCAGCGTCCTGTCAATTGTCTGGAGTCTGGTCTCGAGGCCCGGTATGTGCAACAGTCGCATAACGTGAGCATCTTTGGCCACTACTTTCAATATTTCTTGAAAGTCGCGCGACGCCGGCGTAAACGTATAGTCGGTAAACATACCGGTATCGTCTTTGGCATAAATCGGTTCCAATGATATCCATTTCCTTTGTACGGCATTCATCAGTGCCAACACTGAGTCCAGTTGGTTGAGTCGGGACTCCCATAGCGAGCACCGTTCGACCAGATCGTTGGTAAAAAATTCGGCATTTTTGACCGTTTGCAATGTTAGACTACATTCGGAAACCTGATTGAGTATTTGACGCCAATCGCGAATCAATTTGACCGACAAATTTACGCCCGGATCCGATGTTTGATGATCGTAGAGTACCAGTACAGCACTGGTAGCAAACAGGTCTAACTCGTTGAATGTTTCGCGTATCGACATCTCATTGGAGGCTCTAATATATATATATATATATTTTTGAGATAAAATATATGAAAAATATTTGATTTTTTAAACAATAAATACAGAAAATAAAGTTTTGCAAACAATTGTAATTTAGTTTTGTTATACAGTATATCATGTATTAATCAGTTAATACAGTATTACTTATATCCTTATACAGTATATGTCTATATGTTTGTTATTTTTTAAATATTGATACATTTGTTAAAATTATATTTTACTTTTATTATCTCATTTTTGATTTGTTTAATAATTTTTGTTTTCTGAAAATATTTTGTTTTTAAACTAAATTTTACGGTGAAATCAATTTATTAATTTTTATTGTGTTATAAATCTAATACTATTATATTTAAGCTATAATTTWAAAAAATTCAATAAAGTTTGTAAACTCAAGTTTGTCACTTTTATTTGTTAATTATAATAAATACAGGTTTAGAAATTTTTTTTAGTTAATTAATTTGTTACTTATTTATCAAATTTTATTGTTGTTGAATTAATTGAATATGTAATCATGTAATGCATGAAACTGTATAAACATTTTCAATTAAAAAAGAAAAAAGAAAATTGTCGTTAAATTCAATACAATAAACAATAATTAACTAAAATAACGATTACTTTTGAATTTAGTTTCAATAGTTGATAATAATTTATAAATAACAAGAGATTATTAGCCAAACAATAAGTGAATTAAATTTCAAATTCTGTATTGAATTCAAAATTCAATAAACATTTCTAACTGTTATATCCTTTGTCTTAATGTGTAATACAAATTGATTTTTTGTTTTGTTTTAATTTTGTTGAATGATTCAACTAAAAGTGATTAATAATATAATATAATTGACATAAAAAAAAATTAAAGACAAACAGTCAGAGCTAATGCACGTCATCTGTCTTATGAAACTATTAGCCGCTGTTGCCGTATATATGGTCGGCGTTACTGTTGTCCAGTGTTTGCCATCGGCACCTCATCAGCAATCATTGACACCAATTGTATCCATCACTTCTACCATTGGTGATCATAATCAACACAATCAGCAGCCCAAGCATGAACTGGTTAGACGGGATGTCAATAAGTGCAATGAAACAGTAACAACAGTGGCCTATTGTATTCAAACAATTTGGTCGTCTACGGCAAAAATACGGCCAACCAAACCAAGTGGTAGCGGCGGCGGTTTGATTGGACTTTTAAGTTCAATTTTCGGTGCAATTGGTTTACGAAACAATGGACAGATAAATGAAACAATTTGTTGTATGCAAGCACAGGGATACTGTTCCTTAAGGAAAGTGGTCAGTTAATGAATGCTATAAATAATAGTATCAATAGGTTTTATTGTATATCAATTTGTTTTTTAATCCATCAGTCACTCGATGGTGATGTCTGTTCAGGCGATAAACTAACCGAAAAYATAGAGAAACGAATCGATGATTTAAAAGTAAATGTTGAAGACTGTCAACAAAGTCATATCAATGCGACGGAACAGTTATGTAAACCAAAAGAGATGACCAGTGGTGGAGCCGAATGTACCGAATCGGCAAAGTATTTGTGTTACGGCGAACTACAACCGGTAACAACAACAGYAGCAACCGATAAGCCTAATCCCGGATCAACTGGTGGTAGTGGCCCGAGTGGTGACAATAGCCCTAAACCGCCGGCAACTCCACAATCGGGAGCTCAACCAATGACCAGAATCGTTGGTCTGACTATTGTTGCGTGTATTGTGTCGACTATAGACGCGATTGCAATCAATTGAATGTGTTTTTTCAATTGTTGAATACTTTTCTCAATTTAATCCAATTAATTGATTACCAAACAAATATTTATATCAATTGTTTGTTGTTTTTTAGTTTTATTATTACTTTTGTTTTTGTTTAATAACTGTTTTTATAAATTATAGAAAAATCTTTTTTGTTTTATATTTTATTATTATTATATTATTTACGGTATGTTATCAATATTTTCCCAACATTTTCAATAAATTCATATTTAGATAAATATTTTTGAATAATTAAATATTTTTTACTCATTTAAAAAAATAAATTAAACTAAATCAGTCAATTTATCAAATAAAATGTATTTTTATAATTTAATTAATTATTATCAATTATAATTCCTTTAATAACAATTGCCATTCAATTCAATGAAATTCAATAATTGACTAAAATATCAATTACTATAATATTAATAATTAGTTTTTAATAGTTGTTATTAATTTACTGTTTTATATATAAATTACGAGATTATTGACAAACAAACAAAAAACTAAACGAAACTAAACTTTAAATTCTATATAAAGTTCAAAAAATTGATTACACATTCAACAACAAAAAAACGGTTTCAGTTATAGATTTATTGTCATAAAAAGTGTAATACAAATTGTTTTTGTTTTGAGTGACCAACTAAAGTGATAGTTAGTGGCACTAAAAATGCTTATCAAACTATTAGCCGCTGTCGCTGTATGTATGGTATGCGTAACTGTTGACCAGTGTTTGGCTATTGCAGCGGCACAGCTGTCGCCGTCGACACCAATGACAACAATTACCACCAACACTACTACCCGTACCGGTGGTGGTCATCATTATTATAGTGACCACCACTACCAGCTCAACCGCAACGGTCGACTGGTTAGACGTGATGCTATCGACAAGTGCAATGAGACAGGGATTAATGTACATGATTGTGCTAGGAAAATATGGTCTACTAATCCRGGAACAAAGAGACCAACATTTGCTGCCAGTGGTGATGATGATGGTGGTAGTAGTGGTGGTGGTGGTGGTTATGGTGATGGTTGGAAAGTACTCGTCAACAATCGAGGATCTCAAGGATCTGAACCCTCATGTTGTTTGTACTCACAGTTGTATTGTTCAGTGAAAAAAGTGGTCAGTAATCATAGCACACCTGTGTGTGTGTGTGTGTRTGTGTGTGTGTGTGTGTGAGTGTGAGTGTGTGTGTGCACTTCAATGTGTTTTTTTAATTAAATAATAATTTAGTTTTAATGTCTTATTAATTTGTCTGACAATTTTCTAAACAATTTTTTTTCATTTGAACGGAACAACCATATCATCAGACACTCGATGATAATGTCTGTGCCGGTGATAAACCAAGCGAAACATTAGTGGGAATAATTGATTGGTCAAAAATAATTATGAACTCTTGTCAACTGAATTATAATATCACTCCCACAGAACAGTTGTGTAAATTATTGGAGGGCACCGGTGGTGATGATTGGCCTCAATGTATCGAATCGGCAAAGTATTTATGTTACGGCGAATCTCAATCACCGGACAATAAGCCGTCAACAACCGATATGCCTAATCCCGGATCAACTGGTGGATCCAGCAGTGATAACAATAATACAAAACCGCCCGCAACTGATAATCCTGACCCCGTATCAACTGATGGCCCGAGCGATGACAGTAGTCCGAAACCGCTGGCAACTGATAATACTAATCCCGGATTAACTGATGGTCCGAGTGATGAAACCAGTTCTAGACCACTCACAACTGATAATACTAATCCCGGATCAACAGATGGTCCGAATGATGAAACCAGTTCTAAACCACTCACAACTGATAATCCTAATCCCGGATCAACTGATGGTCCGAGTGATAACACTACCCCTAACCCGCCGGCAACTGATAATCCTAACCCCGGATCAACTGGTGGTACGAGTGATGACAATACTCCTAAACCGCCGGCAACTGATAATCCTAATCCCGTATCAACTGATCAACCAAATGATAACAGTCCTAAACCGTCGTCAACTGGTAATCCTAACATCGGATCAACTGGTGGTACAAGTGATAAAAATATTCCCAATACTCCCGCAACCGATACAACTATACATTCTGGATCGCACCTAAAGATTACAATCGGTGGTAAAAGTCTGGCTATTGTTGTCTGTATTGTGTCGACAATAGTCGTGATTGCAATGTATTGAAAGTTTTGAATACTTTTTGTTTCAATACAATACTAATAGTTTGACAAAAAAAAATATATTCATATTATTTGTTATTTTTGTTAATTTTTTCTTAAAATATTTTGTTTGTTAACTAAAATTTAATATATAAATCCTATTTGTATTGTACGTTATGACTAATTTATCAAAACTATAGTTTTAATAGAAATTTTTAGTATAAAAAGTCTATATTTAAATAAAATATTTAATTAATTTTTTACAGTTAGTTATCTAATCAATTATTTTGTTAAAATAAATTCAATTTTCAATTTCTTAAATATAATTTAATATCAATATCATTATAATTTGTTTCTAAATATTTATTAAATTAAACTATTTTAATGTATTGATGATAAAAATTATAAATTATTATTTTTTTAATTATAATAAATTTACATTATTAAATTAAATTTTATGTTTAATAAATAATTAATTTTGCTTATTATCAAATTAAATAATTAACAAAAAAAATTAGATAAAGTAATTCAGATTAAATATAATGTATATTAAACAAAAAATTATTCATAAATTGATATGAATTTAATTATGTAATGCGCGAAACTGTACAAACATTTTCAACTAATAAGAAATATCTCATTTCAATTCAAATGTTAATAATTAAGTAATCGACTAATCGTTATGTTAATAGTTGTTAATAATTTATATTATTATTATTATTACTTAAACCACGAGATTATAGCCAAACAATAAGTTAAAATTAAAATTTCAAATTCTGTATAGAATTGAAAAATTCAATTGAATACACATTTCAAACGRTTATATTCATTGACTTAAAGTGTACTACAATTTGATTTTGATTTTTTGAGTGATATTTTTTGTGATAATAATTGTGGTAAATATTTGAAGAGACATCAGTCAGACCTAATGCACATCATCTGTCTTATAAATCTATTAGCCGCTGTTGTCGTATCGGCTATGGTCGGCGTCACTGTTGTCCAGTGTTTGCCGTCGTCGGCGCCTCCTATTCAACAGTCATTGTCACCAATGGTAACCAACAGTTCTACCGCTGATGATCATAATCAACACAATCAACGGCAACAGCCAAACCATGGACTGGTTAGACGGGATGCCAATGAATGCAATAATAGATTGACAAAAGTGGTCCAATGTATTACCAGTAAATGGTCAGGAAAAATATTGAGTAGTGCTTTACCGACTGGTGGTATCGGCGGATTATTAGGCCCAGGACTATTAGGCGGCGGTGGAGGTAATGGCGGATTATTAGGAGGAGGACTATTAGGCGGCGGAACAGGTTTACGGACTGGCAATGGAGTCACATTAAATGAGCCGATGTGTTGTATGTTCGATCAGCTATACTGTTCATCCAAAAAACTGGTCAGTAATGAAATCATACACACCTGTGTGTGTGTGTGTGTGTGTGTGTGTGTGTGTGTGTGATGAGTTTATTGGTTTAAAATTTTAAACCATTATTATCTGTTTAATTATCTAAAATCATATCTGTCTTCTATATTATTTTCAAATGGATCCGATCAGTCATTAGATGATGTCTGCGCCGGTATTTCAGATATGGGCGATAAAATAGAAGAGATTAAAAAACAGATTGAAAATTGTCATCAAAAAAATTTCAATCCGACGGAACAGTTATGTAAACCACAGGAACGTCTACTAATGCCGACTGTACCGAATTGTCAAAGTATTTTTGTTACGGCGAACCACAAGCACTGGACAACAAAGAGCCGGCAACTGATGGTCCGAATAATGGTGGCAATAATCCTAACCCTAACCCGCCCGCAGCCGATAAGCCTCAGCACGAATCAGCTAATGCTGGTGTTTCTAAACCATTCATTACCACACAATCTGGTGCCCAACCAATGGCTACAATCGGTGGCCAAAGTCTGGCTATAATAGTCGGCTTTGTGTCCACAATAGTAATGATTGCAATGTATTGAATGATTTTTTTTTTTATTGAATACTTTTTCATTCAATTCATTCATTTAGTTTTAATTTCACTTTATTTGTCACTAATTTTTTTGTTTAATAATTTGTTCAGTAATGTATTGAATGATTTTTATTTATTTATATTTATTTTATTTTTTTTTTGAATACTTTTTCATTCAATACATTCATTTTAAATTCATTGCTAGAAATATTTATAGCATTTATTTTTATTTCACTTTATTTATCACTAATTTTTTGTTTGTTTAATAATTTTCGTTATTTTTCTGAATAATTATTTTTGCTTATTATATCAAATAAAATAATTAAAAAATAAATAAATAAAGCAATTCAGGTTAAATATAATGTATATTAAACAAAAAAATTATTCATCAATTGATATGAATTTAATTATGTAATGCGCGAAACTGTACAAACATTTTATTCAAACATTTTAAGCATTTATAGTAATTTCAAATTCTGTATAGAATTGAAAAATTCAATTGAATACACATTTCAAACGATTATATTCATTGGCTTAAAGTGTACTACAATTAGATTTTGATTTTTTGATTGATTCAACTAAAAGTTTGATATTTTTTGTGATAATAATTGTGGTGTAAATATTTGAAGAGACATCAGTCAGACCTAATGCACATCATCTGTCTTATGAAACTATTAGCCGCTGTTGCCGTATCGGCTATGGTCGGCGTCACTGTTGTCCAGTGTTTGCCGTCGTCGGCGCCTCCTATTCAACAGTCATTGTCACCAATGGTAACCATCACTTCTATCGCTGATGATCATAATCAACACAATCAACGGCAACAGTCAAACCATGGACTGGTTAGACGGGATGCCAATGAATGCAATAACAGATTGACAAAAGTGGGCGAATGTATTGGCAAAAAATGGTTTGCAAAATTAGTTAGTAGTATTGTATCGGGTAGTGGTATCGGCCGACTACTTGGTTTACGGACTGACAATCAAGTGTCAATAAATGAGCCGTCGTGTTGTTTAGGCGATCAGCTATACTGTTCATCCAAAAAATTGGTCAGTAATTAAAGCACAGACACACACACACACACACACCTGTATGTATGTGTAATGAGTTTATTGGTTTAAAATTTAAAATTATTATTATTAATATCTGTTTAATTTTCTAAACATATTTTCTATATATATATATTCAAATGGATCCGACCAGTCATTCGATGATATCTGCGCCGGTATTTCAGATATAGCCGATAGAATAGAAAATATGAAAAAAGCGGTCGAAACATGTCATCAAAATAATTTCAATCCAACGGAACAGTTATGTAAACCACAGGAAGCCTCTACTGGTGACGAATGTACCGAATGGGCAAAATATTTTTGTTACGGCGAACCACAAGCACTGGACAACAAAGAGCCGGCAACTGATGCTCCGAGTAATGGTGGCAATAATCCTAACCCTAACCCGCCCGCCGCAGCCGATAAGCCTCAGCCCGAATCAGCTGGTGCTGGTGTTTCTAAGCCATCCATTATCACACTATCTGGTGCCCAATCAATGGCCACAATCGGTCGCCAAAGTTTGGCTATAGTTGCCGGCTTTGTGTCCACAATAGTAATGATTGCAATGTATTGAATGATTTTTTTTTGTTTAATACTTTTTCATTCAATTCATTCATTTTTATTTCACTTTATTTGTCACTAATTTTTTTTTGTTCAATAATTTTCGTTATTTTCGTAAAAATATTTCTAAATTATTTTTTATTTGTTGTGAAACTCATTAGTTTTTTTTGTATATTATAAAGTTTAATCCATTTAAGTTATTAATATTTGTTATCCACATTATTTTCAATAAAATTATTTGTAAACTTTATTTAAATAAAATAGTTTTCATTAATTGAAAAATTTATTTGTAATTTTCATTAAAAAAAATATTTCATTGCTTTCACGAGACTTGTATTTAGTTTTTTTTGTGTTAAATTTCTCATTTAGTAAGCATAGTATTGAAATAACAATTGTTTTATAATAAATCACGCGCTAAACGCGTACAATAAACATAGTATTGTATTTGTTATCATAATTATTATTATTCATAGAATTCAAATGAAAGGAAAAAAATATTTTGAATTAATTTTTTTCAGTTAATTTAACTGACAATTAATTGAATTTAATTTACAAACAGTTTTTTGTAAATATAAATATCTCAGCTGAAAGTCTATTAAATAAGTCAACTGTTTTTTGTTATCCCAAAGCAATACCTTTAACACACACACAAACATAAGTTTGTCTAGACTTGAATAGCATACCTGTGCGCCCGACTGTTATCAATGTTGTTGCTGGTGGTGATAGTGGTAATAGTGTCGGTATGTGTTCATCGATCGGATTGCAGGGAATGGGCTGAAGTACAAAAGTGTGCAAAAGATATGTGGCGTATGGAAAGCTGTACATACCATCGATGGGGTATGGCCGACGGCTATCTCAAACCCAAAGAGGAATGCTGTTCCCAATTGGAGATCTACTGTATCCGCCAGAAAGCGGTAAGTAGTAGTAGTGGTGGTAGTGGTAGTGGTAGTAGTGGTGGTAGTAGTAGTGGTAGTAGTAGAAGTAGTAGAAGAAGAAGAAGAAGTAGTAGTAGTAGTAGTATACTGGTCCCACACCCCTTCCCCCCTCCCCCACAGACACACACTTGCGAGACTGACTACTCACCCGCGCAGTCACCACAGTATTGTTAACCCATACTTAACTAACTATTTGTTTATTTGTTTGTGTTTTTATAATCTCGTTTCCCGTGTTCCCGATCCCGACCCACCGCCCCCCTACACACACACACACACAGTCCAAGGATTGTGGTTTTCCATTCAATCCCTACTGGGAGGAACAGTTTAAATCGGCCACCTACCGGTGCACTGAGCAACACAAGTTTACGGCCAACGAAGCCGTCTGCAGCACACTGTTCACTCATCGGCGCTTTCCGTGCAAATACAAAAACTATCGCAACTATTATCCGTGTCTCAACAGTGACGGCCGACTGTCGCCCAAACCGGCCGATTGGGACTCATCATCGGCTCACAGACCACAGGCCATCGTCACCAGCATCTCTATCATTGTTTTGCTGCCGGCACTACTGGCTATCCTACCCGTTGTCCACAATTATTTGTGTACAATATATTAATACGGGTTTCTCATTAATTTACTATTCATTTATTATTGTTATTATTATTATTTATGTATTATTAATATTATATTTTTAAACATTTATATATATATACAGTATTGCAGTATATCTTTTAATTAGCAAATGTGTTGTCATTTTCTATTTGTTTATTTATTAATATATTTTTACTAAATTGTATTGAAAATTAAAATATATATTTACTGTACTATAATATTAGCCCTAATTAATTGGAAACACATTTTATAATATTTATCATTAAATAAATATTTAAAACAAAAGTTTATTGGATTTATTATCATTATTTTTTTTACTGGCAATAGTCATAAATCATGAAAATTTTATTATCATTAATAATTAGTAATGAAATTTTTCATTCAAATGCTATTAAATTACATATACATTTGAAAATATAATATATCATAATTCTAATTAATATTTAAATTAAAAATTATTAGTTAAACTTATAAATTATAAGCCAAACAACACATTATATATTCAAATAATTTTTGTTACTATTGAATCAATAGTATTGATGATACTTTCATAAAAGTATTAATATTATTTAAATAAATAAATTGATTCAATTCAACTTAGTATGCAAATAGTGTACTAATACCAGTAGTTTATATCAACATTGAAACACATGTATTATTTTTACAGTAGATAATCAAATTGCTATCAAATTATTAGCAAATACCATATGTTTTGTTAGCCCCATAAAAAATCAATGAATATTTAATATTAATAATATTCACAGTAACAATAATTATTAGATTACAAGTTAGCTAATAATATAAGTTATATTATACCTGTATTATAACACACATAAACTTTATATTCAACTAATACACAAAAAAAATATACTGTATATCGCAATCACTAATTAGTTAATCGCTTGCATAGTATTTATAAATTTAAAAAAAATTGTGATCAAAATCACCCTTACTTTGTGTTGAGTTCACGTATGGCATCTCTGGTCACTACCAGTTGTCGTCGCTGTTTGACCAGATCGGCCAGTTTGAGCTTCTCGTAGTCGATGGTCAGTCCAACTAATGCCAAAAACTCTTGCCAATGACTTTTCACAAAACACTCTCCTCTACACAACTTCAATATGGATACCAATTCGCGCCACTCTTTTACCCGATTGTCGAGCATCGGACCGGCACCTGGATTATCATCAACCCATTGGCTTATGTAGGCTTCGATGGCCGACAACTTATTTCGGCTGACAATCCATTCCATGTCCGTATATTTGCCGAGTCCTGACTCAAACTCGTGAATCAGATTCCATTTGGCATCGGTTTCGCGAACCTCATCGGCAACAGTGGCAAACAGTTCAAACACCCGAGGTTTTTGTTGGCCAAAATAGTCACACGATTTGGCCAATTCAGTGCACCGTTCGGCCAACGAGTCGGACTCGATCTTAACAATGGAAATTGTTTCCTTATTTTCGCGCATATCGGCCGACATTGATTGCCATCGATTGATAAACGACTGGACATCGACACCAATGTTGGCCAATTCGGCGCCCATTTGAGACTTTACAATATCTCTAATTAGGAGAAGGGGGAGTGGATAAAAATAATGATTAGGTTAGTTATAAAAAAGCACCGGTAGTTCACTACAACAACAAAATGCCATCACTTACTTGTATGACTCCAACAGCGAGTCTTTTGTTTCTATGACTCTCTCAAACTCATCAAACCGTTGGCGAACATCGCTTAAATCGGGTGCTATTTTGGACGACCATTTCATCAGAAATGCCAACTTTGACTCCAGTTCTCCGTACCGATCATTCAGCTCCTGTTGAACACCGGTCAGTTCAGTCTTGAACAGCCGATCAACGTTTAATAAATCGTCAATATTTTCTGGCCGTTTCGACGCCATAGCCAACAGTTGGCCGCATTTGTCTTCAATTACACGGATCTCCTTATCGCACCTGTCTTTCAGGGACCAGACCAACAGTTTGTCCGCTTCGCTCAGCAGCCACTCAACAAACGACTTGATCGGTAATATGTTGATCCACAGATTACCCGATTGACAGCTGATCTCATTGTCGGCAAACTCTTTGTTGAATCGCTGGGCTTTGGATTTAATGAGAATAAGATTATTCCGGTAGTCATCTAACATATCGCAACCTAAAAACTCGGCCAATGTTTGCGGCTGTTTTTCGGCACCGTTATTATCATTATTATTATCATCAGCAGCACCTGTAGTTAGTGTACCGCTGGCACTGGTATTATGCCATTTGATTACATAATACAGTGAACACCAATCGACAAATTGTTGTCTTATTTTTATCAATTCGTTGACAATTTCTTCAGCCTTTTCATACAATATGGCAAATGAGTTGAAATTTCTGAGATAAATGGCATAAAATAACGATTTTGTATCGGTTTGTACACCAGTGCTGGCATTACTGGCAGTACCGGCGGTATGTAGCGGTGCAAAGCCTTCAAATTTTTCGGGCATTAATAGAAACTGTTTGATACGGCCATAGATTTTTGCCTTAAGCTCTTCCAGCGGAGGCCGATATGTGACCGAACCTCCTATAAAACATAACTCTATTTTCAATTGTTCAGCACCGGTAGCTGAGCCCAATGACATACTGGAACTATTGGCAGTGAATGGTCTAAATAGATTCTTATTGTATACACTACTACTACTACCAGTGCTGTTAGTTTGGGAACTGCCAAACGATAACAAGTTATCCGATTTAAGTAGTGTCCCATTGAAATGATACTCCAATATCTTGTACAGCTGGTGATCCCAGTGTCGTTTCCAGGGAACAGTATTTTGGTAGCCGTAGTCAATCTCCTGGATCATTGTTCGAACATCGTTGACCAGTGGCCGCCATTTGGGTACCGGTATATCAAACAAATTGCGAACCACTGCCAGTATTTTCTGGTGCTGTTTACGAAGCAATCGGTTTTCGGATGCAAACTGTTTGGAAAATTGTTTTAGTTCGTCGAGCCATACGGCCAGTCGGTTCGGGTCGTCCGACCACGAAATACGATCTCTGGCCTCCAACAGTGCTGTAAAACGTTTGGCCGCCGCTATAAGCATTGGCCGCTGCGACAGCAGGATCTGGTCGGCGACACTACAGTAAAAGTTGACAATCTCCCGAAGTTCGCGAGCATAGCTGCCATATTTCTTGACATCGGACTCGGCGGCTAACACATCGGCCGGTATGGCAAAGCCCAGACACCGTAGTACACTGGCATCGGCGGCCAACTTAACCATTTTCGGGTCAAACGTTACGCGCGGTACTTGACTGCTGGTATCAATCTCTATACACTGTCTTCCGGCGTCCAGTTTTACGTCACGCATACTCTGATACCATTCGCGAAACATTTTAGCCGATTCGTCGCCCAATTCACGGTATATCTGTTCCAGTGTTGGCTTTGACTGGCGATACAGATCCAGGTCGACAAACAACGTGTCGCATACCCGAACCACTGCTCGCAGTTTGCCCTCCCGGGCCTTCAGGAAACTAATCCGAGCGACAATGTCGTCGCCAGTGTCCACTTCGGACGTGTCGGCGCACTGGTCGGCCCAGTCGTTCACTTTGGCGACCAGATCTTGACGTTCGCCGACCAGTGCCGCCAATATCTGATCATTCTTGGCCTGACGTCTTAGTTCGCTCAGTGCGTGCATCAAACCGGCCGGCGAACCGTCCATTCGGTGGACAAGATTTCGTAGTCGCCCAACAACTTCCGTATCGTTAACCGTCGGCGACCCGTCATCTCCGGTCTGTTCCGAACCGGCGGCCAATTTGACAAACACTAGAGTACTGTCGCTACGCTGTAGTCGGCCAACTGGTGGCGCTTTGCGTGTCTTCTGGTCGTCGATATCTCTGATATGAAACTGGATCTGATTTGGCGAGTCGTCGCTGCGCTCAATAATCAACTGAGTACTGGCACCGGTAGCCGAACTAAGAAACTTTGTCAACTGCCGGTGCTGTTCACGTGTAATCACATCGTCACCGACACTGTTGTTGTCATTGACATCAAAGTACTCCTGTATTGTCCGCTTGACCAGCGATTGGGTGTCCGTAGAGGTGCTGGTGCTGTTGCTGGTGGTGGTAGACATACCGTCTATTAACAGAGCACCTGATGATTATTATTCAGAGATATAGATAACAAAAAATTATGTGATATATATATACTGTTTTTTTCCTACACTGCCTTATAATAACACTTTACTGTAAGGTTTGGTTGTTATGTACTATTGTATACCATTGATGCTGTAATGTTTGAATCACTTAACACATTGTGAACAAAAAATTTAATGTTATGTTTAACTGCAGTATTAATTGAATACAATATTATTGAAATGAAATATTAATTGTCATTTAATTTATTGTTTAATAATTATAAATAATTTTTTTTATGTAAAATAATTTAATTAATATACTATTTGTTAGTACTTTACAATACAGTATATAAAAGCAATGCATTGATAAATGTTTTTATTAATAAAAAACAAAACTTCAAGTTTCCTTAGAAACGCAATGTTTTGTATATAATTTTTTATTATTATTTTTTTCATATGATTTTATTTTTATTTATTTTTATAATAAAGTTATGTAATTTTATTTTATTTGAGTTTTTTTTAATTATTAATTTTTTTAGCTATAAAACATGTTGAGATATAAAATATGATTACAATATTTACACATTAATTTATAATGATAATTAATTTATTTATTAAATATTACAAATAATATTATTATAGTAATAGTTGTAATATTTTTTGTTGTTATAGAAAAAATATTATATTAATGAAAGTGACATCAAATCCAATTATATTATATCATTAATATATATATATATTAAGCAAATATCAATAAAAACAAAAAATTATTTGATTTTAAATGTTAATTTTATTTATAATTTATAAGTAATTTAATTGATAATTTTAATATAAATATTAAACTTAAATTATGATATTATAGTTTCAAAAAGTAAATTATATGTATATTTTATAACATATGAATGTTAAAGTATAGCATTTTTTAATTAATAAACAATTAAAATCAAATAATTTTTGTTTATTGATATTTGCTTAATATATACAGTCGCATTCAGAAGGGTGGTAACTGGTTTTTAGTGAATAACTCACTAAATATAATAGATAGAATAAAACTATTATTTTTGGTACTATGGTTTTCTGGGACGGATATTATAAAATCTTAATATTCTATGTAGCGCAGCTCAGGGATGTAGGGACAGGGAGGTACTATATCTCAAAAACTATAATAGATATCAAAATATAGTAAAAATTATTATATACAGGGTAAAAATTCATTTCATACGTGTTTTAGGATTTTTAAAAATATTGAGTTGTTTTCAAACAAAAAATATAAAACTGTCAAAAATGCAAAAGTTTGATATAGTTTAAATTAAAAGTGTCAAGGTGTTTTAAAATTTAATTAATTGATCTAGAATCTATATTATATGCTTAATAATTTGTCTATACATGAATTTTAATTATATAAACTAGTTACTTAGTAATTTAATAAAAACTATTTTTCCATTATATAACAAAATTAATATTAAGTAATATTGCACTTATGTATTATTTAAATTACATAATGAGAGAATAGTTTTTATTAAATAACTAAGTAACTAGTTTATATAATTAAAATTCATGTATAGACAAATTATTAAGCATATAATATAGATTCTAGATCAATTAATTAAATTTTAAAACACCTTGACACTTTTAATTTAACCTATATCAAACTTTTGCATTTTTGACAATTTTATATTTTTTGTTCGAAAATAACTCAATATTTTTAAAAATCCTAAAACACGTATGAAATGAATTTTTACCCTGTATATAATAATTTTTACTATATTTTGATATCTATTATAGTTTTTGAAATACAGTACCTCCCTGTCCCTACATCCCTGAGCTGGGCTGCATCGAATATTAAGATTTTATAATATCCGTCCCAGAAAACCATAGTACCAAAAATAATAGTTTTATTCTATCTATTATATTTAGTGAGTTATTCACTAAAAACCAGTTACCACCCTTCTGAATGCGACTGTATATATATTATAGTTTTATACAATACAAAAATTACATAAGTTTAATTAAAAAATAAATATATTAAAATAATATTTTATATATGTTTAGTTGATTTTGATTTAGTTATTTTTATAATTTACAATGAGTAATAAAAATATTAATTATTATTTAATAGTAATAGTTTATTTCACCACGATAAATGTTTTAATAACAAATAATAAGCTACGTAGGCTATTTAAAAAAATAAGCTTTTAAGCTCACTAAGTGAATATATTTTTAAATATTTATATACTCAGTATATATATATATTATATATATACTGAGTATATAAAATATATATGTATATATAAATGCATAAAAATATATTATTATAATTATAATAATAATTTATTAATCCACAATGTGGGGCACAAGTATGGTTTCTTCAATGTAAAGACGCTGAATGGTTCCATCACTAATTTTGACACACGAAGTGGTGTTGTTTTGGTCGCAGTAGTTACTGGACGAGAATACAGTGATAACTCTTTTGTTTGAAGACCATCTGAATCCATGTTTGATACACTCGTGTTCACAGATCATATAAGACAAACGATTGTGATCCAGAAAATGGTTTGATGGCTTCCGATGTAAAATAGTGACCAACTCTTCGAGCTTTATTTGGTAACAAATATCTCTCACGCAGACAAATACCGAGCTTCCGTTACAGCCGTATACTTAGACATCGACATCGAATCGGGTCATTCTATGAGATGCCACAAACTATTCTGAATTTTTCTGTAGATATCTGAAGGGTCTTTCAAAACTATTAATAATTATTAAATTAATAAAAAATAAAACTATTAAATTATATTAGTAATTGTTTTTTAATTGAATAAATTGATATCATTTCACGCCCTAATTGTTAAATCAATGCATTTAATACAGTGTAACTTACCCTTCAATGTTTACTTATTGAATTAATCCATAGTCAGGATCGATTTTTGTCGAAGTGAGGCAGACCTCCGTGACAGAATTTTTTTCTATTACCCCCCCCCCCAACGATAGCATATTAAAACAACTGTAGATAACTGAGTGTAAATATATTGTGTCTTATATTGCGGCCGTCTTTTTTGTACATTCGTACAAAAATCCATATTTTGAGTTCATAAGCTTATAATCGTGATTACCGCCAATTAAAACAATATTTGCTTTTATCGGCCTACTTTAAAGCAAACTAATAGACCGTTATCTCGATCGAATACTTTTCTCTTTCAACAAAATTTTAACAAATTATGGCGTATCAATTAATTTATAATTAAATTATTATCTGCGCCGATCTCTAATGTGTCCCATGATACCTGAATCGGTATTTGATGGGTCGTCACAATATACATACCATAAATAATGTAATGTTAAGAGACAAACATATTGTATAAAAGGGCAAATTGTAACATACTATATGAAACAGTTAACTCATTGGGATAATTATCCCAACATAACACTTACATAATATACTGAAGATAGTTAGGCTCTTTTTACTTTTACTTTACTGTACTTCTAAAATATTTAATACTTTTTTAATAAATAAAGTTATTTCCATACAATTGTGTATTTTTTCTAACCTAACCTAACCTATCAACTAACCCCAACAATCAACAACTGTATTACAATATTATTACAATAAATAATACAAAAAAAACTTTATTATTTTTGTATTAATATTCAAAAAATAAATTTTAAATTAAAATTTTTGTTATTTTTGTCATATTATTTACCAATACTACTCAAAATAGAGCTTAAATAACATTTGTTTTTATTATTTCAGACAATTTAACAAAAATCTGTTTATTAGGGTTTTGATATTTAATAGTACAAGGAAACTAATTCCCTGGAAATTCTCCAGGGAACATTGGGAACATACACAAACCCTAAAGTAGAATCAACATTGAATCGATGGATTCTCTTTCAAACTTAAATATATATATTAACTTTTATAATATATTTTTTAGGATTGTTTTTATTATAATATTTTAACTGTTAAGTTTATGAATCAAATAATATGGAGAAAAAAAATCAATTAATTTATAAAACATATTATTAATATTTATTAATAAAAATAATGATTATATAATAATTTGTTAAAATATATATAATAACTGTCCGACGCTTTACTACCAATTGTTTGTCTCGACATCCTGTCCGCGCTTAGTATTGCCATCCGTACCGTCCGCTACCGGTGCCGAAGCCACGGGATTGGTGTCCAGTGCGGCATTTTTGTTGTCGTCACCCTTAAGACATCCGATTTTTATGAGCATCGGTCGCACTAAGACATCATTATAGACAAACATTCCCAACAACAGTACGATAAAGCCGGCCACCTGTATGTACGTACGATTGCCAGGTATTTCCCAGCCGATGGCCAAACTGAATATCCAGATAACAAACGTACGAACCGAGTCCAGTACTGTCCGAGTGGTGGCCGACATCTGTTTGGTTACCGAAATGCCGGCAAAATTGAAGAACGATATACTAATGATTGTACCGACCAGTCCTAGCGCTACCTAAAATAAAAAACATACAAATATATGTTTAGTTTTATTTCATACAATTGTTTTACACCCACTATATTAAACCTATACCTCCCCGTCCCCCCCCCCGTCACCGATCACACATACCTGCCATTGATTGCCAATCTGATAGAAGCCGTCGATGGCGTCCTCCATATTTCCGTAGGGATTGTTGAAAATAGTATTACCCGTAGGTATCCAATACATGGGTATCAATAGGAAGGACAATATGACGGCACCGAACAGTCCTTCCCAACCGACCGCCTGCAATGGCGACACATTACTGCTGGCGACAAACTTTTCTTCGACCACCATCTGCGAGGCGGCAATAACTTGGCCGACAATAATGATCACATCGCCGATAATGATATTGCTGGTCGACTTTCCCGATTGACTAGCATTGCTGAAAACAAAATCACCGGTACCGACAATGGCCAGACCGACAATCACGACAACCATACCGGCCCATTCGTATAGTTTCAATCGACGTTTGAGAAAAAATACCGACAACAGGCCGGTAAAGATAATGATAGCCCCTCTTAGCATCTGAAAACTGGACGCATAGGTCAGATTGAGACCGATATACATGAGCGACGTGGCTGTCATATCGCATAGGGCTGGCGGCAAAAATATTAGCGGATTAAAATCGCGGGAACCCTTAACAAACTCCGGTAGTTCATCGTCGACGTAATCTTTTTTTATATAATAATAGTAGAGTAGTTTGTAGGCCAATAGACAGGTTAGTTCACCCAAAAACATGGCCACTGCCTGAAGAAACGGATGGTTAAACTCGCGTATTACACCRTCSCGACCGCGCGACGGCGTAATRTCRGCCCATTTGGTGGCCAATGTRTTGATGGTGCCGGTGATGACCAACAGGACGGCCAAAAATATTTGATACTTAGTCCAGGCCATTATTATTGATTATTGATTATTTATAWGATGATTACAATTATATATATATACAGTATATTAGATATAAGTATATACAGTTATAAATTTATTAAATAATTGATTTAATTTTTTTTTTGACAGTTAGTAAACTAAATTTTTCAAAAAATTAAAAGTTTAAATTTATATATATATATATATTATATATTATATAATAAGTAGTTTTTTTTTGTTGTTGAAAAAAATTAATTGTTATTTAAATTAATTAGCGATCATTATTAATGATATCTGATTAATCTATTTTTAAGTATATTTATTATTATTTTTTTTAATAAACAAATTAATTTATTAATAGAATTATAATTAATTAAATTTTTTTTTTAAATTATAAAATATTAACACAAATATATAATTATTTTATAACATAGCCACACATTTTTTTTAATTAGAAAAAACTATAATTTATTTTATTTTTTTAGAAAAGTTATTGCACTTAACCTATGAATAAAATAGATTTTATATATCATATAAAATAAATAGTTTATAACAATTAACATTTAACATTTATTAGTTTTTTTTGTTGTTTGTTATCAATTTTATTATTATTATACTGTATATACGGTAATATTTGTATTAAACTTATTATTATTATTTTTGGTAATAATACTGTTACTATATTCAATTATAATGTCAATTGATAGATAATTGGGTGTTACCTAATTAAGYTTTTTTATTGATAAAATTAATTTTTCATATACTGTATATGATTTATTTTTTTAAAAATTAAATACTATATAAAATTATTTTTGATTTCTGTACTAGTTCATATATATATTATTTATTTCTACTACAACTACTACTACTACTACTACTACTATTACTATTACTATTATTATTATTATTATTATTATTATTATTATTATTATTATTATTATTTTTGTATATCACGGTTGTTCCGGTGTGATCACAGTTGTGTCGGCCACTTTTGGTGGCAGAGACACGACTGGTTAGACTCAACTCAAGTCTAGTACTTTTCTGACTGTTCTACAACTCTGAAGTATCACTGCTTTTTGCATTTCATAGATCTTAGTTTTTCTGATTTCCAGTGATTCCAAACTTAGGGCCAGATTTTTCGGTATTACGGCCATTGATGACAGGATTATAGGTATGATTTCAACTTTCTTAATGCGCCACATCTTATTGATCTCATAGGCCAAGTCTGTATATTTTCGGCGTTTCTCACTATGCGTGTCCTGTAGTTTGTGTGTTAGTGGGACCGCTATGTCTATTATGTATGCCTTATCTTGATGTTTGTCTACTAGTACTATATCTGGGCGGTTGTGGGCCACAGTCTTATCTGTTCTTATTTCTTTATCCCAGTAGAGCTTGGCTCTGTTGCTTTCCATTACACTTTGTGGCTCGTATCTATAGTATGGTAATGGTTCTTTGATTAGTCCGAATCTTATTGCCAATTCCTGATGTATGATTTTGGCTACTTGGTTGTGACGGCTTAGGTACTCGGTGTTTGTGAGTACTTTACACCCGTTTAGTATATGTTCTATTGTTTCGGACTCCATATGACACATCCTGCACTTGTCTGTTGGTATATTTAGCTTTTGGATGTATTTCTGATGGTTTCGTGTCGGAATCACTCGATCTTGTATTGCCATCATGAACCCCTCTGTCTCTCCATGAAGACCGGCGTACTTCAACCATTTTGTAGACATTTCTTCGTCTACGTGTGTTTGGTTGAGTTCTGCTCTGTATCTACCGTGGAGTTCTTTTGAGGCCCATGTGTTAATCCTTTCTTTTTCATTTTGTATTTCTATTTGATGTTCATTATTGCTGAGATTTAGAGGTGTGTAGTTGTAATCAAGTGTTGATGTTATTTTGTGGAGCTCTGAGACATTGCATTTTTGTTGATGGTATTTTCTCAGCAATTCTCGCTGTTTGGCTTCAAGGCTTACAATGTTTAGTAACCCTCTACCCCCATGCTTTCTACTAACACACAGTCGTGCTACAGAACTTCTAGGGTGGTGTAGTCCAAACATTGTAAGTTGTCGCCTTATATGTCTTTCAATGGTCTCAAGTTCTGTTTTACTCCATTTTATTATTCCGAACGAGTATGTCAGTACAGGTATAGCCCAAGTGTTTATGGCTTTGAATTTGTTGTTTGAGTTTAGTTGAGATTTTAGTATTTTTATTATTCTTTGGTTTAATGTTTTCTTTATTTCTTCTTTAACTTCTGTCATTTTAGATTTATGCATTTGCTTAATTCCTAAATACTTATATATATCTCCATTTTCTAGTGCCTTTATATATCCGTTTTCAGTTTCGTATTGATTTCTTTCAGAATAGACTCCTCTTTTCAGTTTCATTATAGCACATTTATCTAATCCGAATTCCATATTTATATCATTGGAGAAAGTTTCTGTTGTTTTTAGCATTGCATTTAAATCAGATTCTTTTTCGGCGTATAGTTTTAAGTCGTCCATATATAGTAGATGTGTTAGATTATATTTTGTATCACTTGATTTTAGATTTACGCCTTTTAGCTTTTTAAGTAGTGATGACAGTGGGTTTATAGCTAAGCAGAACCACAGAGGACTGAGTGAATCTCCTTGAAATATTCCTCTATTTATTTTGATTTCTGTACTTATTTTTGTTCCATTATTTGTATTGACACACAATTTAGTATTCCATTTTTTCATCATATTTTCTAATGTGTTTATCAGTGTGTTGTCAATTTTATATAGTTTTAACACTCTTAATAACCATTTATGAGGGACTGAATCGAATGCTTTCTTATAGTCTATGTATGCCATTTCAAGATTTCTATGTTTTTGACGAGCTCTTATTGTTATGATATTGTCTATTGTTAATTGCTCTTTACAACCCATTGAGTGTTTTATACAGCCTTTTTGTTCTTCAGCTATTATGTTGTTGTTACTTAAATGATTATATATTTTTGTTGATATTATGGATGTTAGGATTTTATACATTGTTGTTAGGCAAGTGATTGGTCTATATTTGCTGGGATCTGATGTATTTTCTGTTTTTGGGAGTAGATATGTTATTCCGGAAGTGAGGAAGTCATCGGTTTGTCCTGTTTGTATTATTTTATTCATTGCTATTGCCATTGGTTGATGAACTGTTGTAAAGTGTTTATACCAGAAGTTTTGTATTTTGTCTTGTCCTGGGCTTTTCCAATTGTGGGATTTATTGAGGGCTTCGGTTAAGTCATCTTTAATTATATTTACTGAAGTCATATGTGGTATTTCTTTATTTTCATCTTCAATATCATTTATCCAATTAGATTCTTTATATTCCTTTGGGTTACTCCAGATTTCTTTCCAGTAGTTTTCTATTTCATCTATTTGTGGTGTATTGTTATTATTGCTTGAATTTATTTTATTTTGATTTCTATAGAACATTTTTTCGTTATTATAGAACATTGTATTTTGTTTTCGTCTTTCGCTTTGTATTTTATATCTTCTAATTCTTTGTGATAGTGCTTGAACTGTTTGTTTTAATGTGTCGTTGTAATTTCGGATTATGGATTCAAATTCAGGTTTTCCAGGTTTTGTCTGTAATGATCGGTATATATCTTTTAATGATTGGTTAAGTCTTTTTGATTTGATTCCATTTAACACTTGCGTTATTCTTCCAATTATTTTTCTTTTCCCTTCTATCCGTGTATCTATTCGCTTTTGCCATTTAGGTATTACATTTTCTTGATTTGGTTTTGTTGTAGACATGTGTTCTATTTTGTAGCCTAAGAGTCTCGATACTGCTACTGCTGCACAATACGTTATTGTATTAATTGCGCTCAACGACATATTTTCTTCGATGTAATCTTTAAGTATATCATTTATCGTTATTATAGTAGATCTTGTTTTAATGCCACTTCTTATTTTTGGTAATTTAGGTCTGAATTCTATTTCAAAGTCTTTATATTGTTCTAAAGATGTTTTTAGTTCATTTTCTGCTGTTATTCTTTTTATTTCATCATTTGTATTGTTTATGTTATCTGTTGTTGTAGGTGTCTCTTCTATTTCTGGCACTACTTCTACTGTGGTATTTAATTCAGTTGTTTCATTTAATGATAGTTCATGTGCCACTTGTTGTTTGATTTCTTGTAATTCAATCGGGGATATTTTATTATTCTTTGCTAAGAATCGCCGTTGGTCTGCAATTCTTTGTTCCGTTACATTTAGTTCTGGATATTTTTGTTTGAATGCTAAGTATATTTGGTTTCTGTAATCAGTCATATTTGTTTCGAGTCGAGTTGATCTGTAGTATTCGCGCATTATCAAGGTATTCATCTCATGTGTCCATCTCATGCGCTTTTGCGATTTGTCAACCAAATTGGTCAGTTGTTGCTGAGAACCAGCTTGAACTGAAACATTTTGGAGGTTAGTCTGATTTTGTTGACTAGTCTGCGGTCGCATTACATCACAGCTTTGCCCGCATAGCACATCACTGCGTGGGATATGATGCATACTTAACGAACAGCAGTCAATGCCTACCTGCTGAACGCGGGATTTATTTGAGAGGGTACCTCCCGAACACCCCCCGTTATTCCTACGACTACGTGTAATCATATTTATATATTTTGTGGCCTTTTTACGGGGTCCCGGTCCCTAGAGAAAGCTCAACACTAACATGTGTCTATTGCCACCCATTTCTCACCACTAACATGTGTTTGTTGAAATAGGATTTTTATTTTTATTTTTTGAAACAAAAGTGGCCATTGCGTGTGAGGACGAGTAACTACTCGAAGGGTGAAGGGACATCCTTGCGGACGTCCCTTCGGGGTGGGGGCACCTTTTTACAGGCACCCCCGGGTGGGAGCACCCTTGCGGGTACCCCCAGGTGGGCACCGATACCGAAGTACCGATACCCGGGTCGGGCAGAAACTCGTCCTCACTTAGCACCCCGCTTTCCCCATACTACTTAAGTTGGCCGTCCTAAACAGCGTTGGTTGGGCAGGGACGGGAAGCACAGTTAAAACAATTTTTTTTTTCTCAGAAAAATTGCTTTCCACATCAGGGCTCGAACTCACGATCTTACTCTCCATTACTCTACTAGCCCTACACACTAACCACTACACCACTGTGCCTCCTCTTATTATTATTATTATTATTATTATTATTATTATTATTATTATTATTATTATTATTACTACTACTACTACTACTACTACTACTACTACTACTACTACTATTAGTATTATTATTATTACTACTACTATTATTATTATTATTATTATTATTATTATTATTATTACTACTACTACTACTACTACTACTATTATTATTACTACTACTACTATTATTATTATTATTATTATTATTATTATTATTATTATTATTATTATTATTATTATTATTATTACTACTACTACTACTAAATTTACTACTGTTATAGTGTTTAGTAAATGATAACTTTATAGAGTTGTTAAATRAATTTATTTATGTATTTTTTTAATAAAAATACTTTAAATAGTTGCTATTTTTTTTAAAAAAATACCTGAATAATAATAGATTTAATAATTTAAAAATTTTGCTAGATCATTATCATTAAAATCATTATTATATTACAAAATTATTATTAAATTTTTAAATCTTCTATTTTTACTAAAAATTTGTAAATTTGTAAATCGTATGAACYTTATGTTTTAATTGAATTATTTTTTTTAAAGAAATAGTTTATTTTAATTACAATATTTTGAKTGTATCCAGGACAAACTAACTACTGACACGTTTAGCAACTCTACATATAACAGTTAATTATTATTGTATTATTATTATTATTATAATATTACAACAATTTTTTTTACTTTTTATATAAGTAAAATTATTATACAATTGACACTATATAATATAATTGACAATTTAATTGATAGCATAGTATCTAAAACAATTGATTGTAATACTACAAGTAGTTTAAAGGCGTTAATTAGYTATCAATGTGTAAATAAATAATAATAATWATAATTAATAATAATTATTATTATTATTAAAAGTGGTAATTGATGAGTAAAAACATATATATATATATGAACTATTTAATCAATAGATAAATTTTATATCAATTGTTATAATTGTAATAATTTTTATTTTAAAAAGTTAAAGTTTAACTGTTACCTGTTATATGTGTAATCATATGAAGTGCTAATTTTTTTTAACAAGTGATAAACAAAAATTCCTGAATGTCCTCAAAAAAAAAATTATGGATAAACTTTTCACTGTCCTTAAAAAAAATTAAAAAAATAAAATCATACTGTCCACTAAATTTGGTTGACTATCCTAATCATCAAAAAAAAAATAATAATACATAACTGTTATAATCACAGCAAAATGTTAATTACAGTAAATAACTGATTAATAAATACAAATTCAACCATCAAATACATCAAAAAAATTTTTGTACTCGTCTAATGAAATTAAATTATCATAAAATACAAAATTTTTGTTGTTGATTACAATGATATAATTAGATATTTTTTAAAGTATTARCATTTAAAAAAATATTTTACATTTTTTTCTTAACTATTAATATTATTAATTATGATAACATTATTACATATGTGACATTTGGTCGAAATGTAATAATAATAATAATTATTATTATTACAGTATAATATTATTGTAATAATTATTTCACAATTATAAATGAAATCAARTAATTTAATTAATTTTTTAGTGTGTAATCAAATGAKAAAAAATTAWTATTATTTTAACTAAYTATTTTTATGATTCATTAAATARTAATTATAATTRTTTATATTTTTTTATGATTACGCTGGTTTTACAATTAATTAATGATTAAATATTTTTATTAATTTGCACTTTAATCTTGAACAGTTTCATATAAAGTAAATTATTTAATAAAATTGAAATACYAATCGAAATAATAACTAAACTGTTCCAGCTACTTGAACAYAATTWTGTACCAGTTATAATAGAAATAATTTTATTATATAAAATTWAATATATTATATATTATACATAGTATTTTAACATTTTTAAAAAAATTTCAATTACTTATAGACAAAAATTATTGCTATAGAAAACTATAGATTCGATAAATATTATATATTTGTAAAAAAACAATTGTAAATAAAGTATTAGAAAATTATTATTATTACTGTATATACAAATATTTAAAGTTATTTTTTTGTATATTAAATTTAATCAAATATTAATTAAACTAATAATTACAATAATTGTAGAAATAAATGTATTTAAAAAAAATGTTTAAACATTATGTTAAGCTCATAATACAACTACTATAACAATAATAATAATAATAAGATATTTATTAAATTGTAAACAAAGTTAGTATCGAAAATATTTAAGTGTAAATATAATTTCTAATTATAATTTTATAAATTACCGATAATCGGTAATTGATTGTCTTTTTTAAATATATATATATATATACTGKTAGTGTAACTGTAAATATAAATAATGTAAATATTATTGTATAAACTAAAGGTATACATTATTAAAGAAAAATTTGTTGTATAACAATATAAAAATAGACTATTAGATATATATTATATATATARCTATCATCACAATTATTAACAGTATAAATTTACTGAACTAAATAGAGATTAATTATTATTAAYCTAAAAAWAAATAAAATAAATCAATTGATTTATTTGTAAGATTATGAATTACAAGATTACAGTATGTATTCAATTARAAAAAATTGAWTCAATTATAAAAARATAACAACACATCCGTGTKTGCCAAATGCTATYCAACTATTTTCAACTATTCAACAGTGATTCATCTCGAGAGATGGGGAGGAGGAGTAGGAATAGGAGGAGCGATGAGAAGCTGCGCTTAGGTATTAAAAACCAATTGCTGGATAAATGAGTGGCGTTTCAGCCAATTCAGATACGACCCGATCATCTGTTTCGGATGACTCTAATTGCGGATAATGACTAATATCGTTSTCCAWGATRTCGATGCTGGCATYGGGTATGATCTTCATATAGGTCTGGGCAAACGGTACCGGATTTACTGGATCATTGGGTCCGTATATAAAGTGTAACTTCAGTCGCTGCGAACGGAGCGCACCGACCCATCGRTCTTCGTGTTCGAGACGTTCGTCAATATAGGACAGTAGATCACCGAATACACGGTAGCCGTCCTGTTGTCGGCAGAGTTTCCACAGGTCGTGAWACTCGGCCAYCGATGGCTGCGTATTCGGTCCGAACACTTCGCTTAGGGCCAGCTTAAACGTATAGTAATTGAGCAATTTTGAAATAACAGTGCCCACTATTGGCATMMGCAAGATCTGTGATGTTTTATATTAGTTTTAAATCCAAAATAATTATCAAAAAAATATATAATTTTTAAATAATAATCACCTTTTGACTGATCCGCGCCTTATGAAGGGTCGGGAATATACCGCCGTTTAGAAGACAGACGCTCTCGATGTTGAAGTTGAGTTTGTTTTCACTATTTTWTATATATATATATAAATATTAAATTAAATAACAAATGGTTAACTGATATCTGYYTTAAGATATATATATATATATACAATGATAGACAAAACAATTTATGAAAAGTTTGAACTTGAATATCTTAAAAAAAACTACTTGGCCAATTTTGATACAATTTATGGTAAAGGTAGAATAYAKTATATATAATCTAGTTTATATAAAATTACTAAAATTGTTCAAAAATAATAATAAGTAATTTTAAAAAAAAATAATTAAACAATAACAAAATGTATGGATGCAACCCTTAATGTAAAACACAAACAAAATTTTTCACTTATATTATTATAATATTTAAATAACTATTTTTTTTTTAAAAATTAATATTAATTGTATGAAATCTTGATTATATTTATACTCTACCAATGTATCCGACTTAACTGTATCAAAAAAATGATTAGTTTTCAATAGTTTTTAAGATATTAGGTCTATTAAAAAAAACTTTTACACACAGATTGTTTTGTCCAATGGTGTATATACTGTATATATATATAAAAAAAAAGTTATACAAACAGGTGTCTGGCCATCAGTTCCTGTGTRACAGTATCGCCGTAATCGTGAGCCAAAATGTGGACACTTTTGATGTTCAGGTGAGCTATAAGTTCAACGATTAGATCCGATTGTTCAGCGATTGAATATTTRTGGAATCGCTTGATATAAATTAAAAATTWWAAAAAATAAATAAATATCTGTTTGTTATGTMCTATCAAACAAATTATTTTAATAAAAAATTACCGGTTTATCACTGAACCCAAAGCCCAGAAAGTCGGGTGCAATCAGTCGCCGGACATTACGTTTGAGATCTGGCCAAGTCTTGTACCAATCGAAACTGGATGTCGGAAATCCATGAAGACATAGTACTACCACATCGTTGGCAGCCGTGGGTTGGGTTTCATCTAAATTTTTAAAAAAAATTATCAAATTAGTTGTGAAATTAAAAATTCATTGATTCGTTCATTTATCCATTGATTTTTGATTGATTTTTTCTGGATAAACGATTAGACAATTGTTTTAATTAATAAAAACCTTTATAAAACACTTGATAACCGCGAAACTGTAAGTAATGGCCACCATTTGTTTGCCATTGATATAGTAGTGGACTTAGTGGCGGTTCGGGATAGTTGACAAAAATTGTAAAACCAATGGCCAACAATATCATARTACCGCTTAACAGATTCATTAGTGGACCCATTWTTTGTTGTTGATTAGTTTATTTGTTTTATTAACAAAAAAATCGTTAACTAAATTAGTAAATTTAAAAAAATAAATAAATTAATTTCATAGAAATTTAAAAAAAAAAATTATAACAAAAATTTAATTTAATTTACATATYGTTGTTRTTTATTAATTAATAGTTAATTATTGTTAGTTTATTTAGTCTAKTTGTTTGTTAACAAAAAAATCGTAACTAAATTAGTAAATTAAAAAAAATTAAATTAATTTCATAGAAATTTTTTAAAAAAATTATAACAAAAATTTAATTTCAATTACATGTTGTTGTTATTGTTAATTAATTAATAGTTAATTTTGTTTGTTATTTTTGAAACTAGTTTTTTTWTTTTAAAAAACAATTGCAAACAAAATATTCAACAAAAATAATAATAATAAACAACTCTATAAATAACAAAATGTGAGCTAGCTAATTTATGATACAGTATAATTTTGTTTGTATATATTGTTTGTATATATATATCTTACCAGTGCACACGTTCAATTTATTTTCRACATTATATTGTATTTAATTTAAAAGTACAATRTAATCAACAAGTACATTTTTTTTGGAAATTACATTTTACACWCACATTTTTTTACTTCAATGTCTACATAGAAATACATATTAAATACAACAAGTATTTAAATTAAATATAATAATATGATAATACATGTGCACCAACAACAACAACAACAAATTAACAATCATCTCAATATAAGCAAAACCAAAATATTGGATAATTTAAAATAAATTTATACAGTTCCTCCATCTATAATATATATACTATTGTAGTCATGAATAACCACATTTTTTCAATGAAAAAACAGTGTTAAATTGTAGTTTTATTTATTTTTATGTATTTAAAAAACACTCTACCATGTACAAATTAAACAATTTTTGAAAAAATGTGTTTTTTGTCAATAAAATAATAATTAATATTCTAGATAAATTAACATTGTAAATATTTTTATTATTTTTATTATTATTACTAAATGTCTATAATTAAACTATTCAATAATTAATGCTAATTACAAAATAATTTTAAAAATAGTTATATTGTGCACCTAGATTATTTTTGTAATATTCAAACCTATTAACTAAAAATTGTATATAAAATAAAATAACATATCATAATTTTTTTTAAAAAATTGTCATTGATCAWTTTTTGTTKTGTTTGTATAATTTAATCGGTTAGTYATGTATAGTAGGTATAGATTTTTTTTTGGTGGACATACACTACTACATYATSGACCGGTAGTGTCKCTGGTGTCGYCCTATTTKAAGACTATAAACCAATAATAAGTTTTTAGATTATCAACGATAATAATAATATTAAATTGCATGTAATGTATGGTATAATACTGTAATAATATATATATATGTTTCTTAACAAAATTTTTTGGCGCTTAAACTGTATATAAGTTTTTTATTGATTGATTTTTTTTATCAATAGGTTATTGTTGTGTATGTGTGTTGTCTGTGTGTGTGTTTAGCTAACAGTGCGCGCAAAACAGGGACCACTAAAGTGTGAAAAAAAATCATTTTTAAAAAAAAACATATTTTAATTAAATTAAATCAAACAAACATTAAGTTTTTATTGTTTTATCAAAACATTTGTTTTTTTAAAAACTTTTTATTGATATTACAAACTCTCTCTATTGGCAATCACTGTAAGTATTTGAATGATTTGTATTATACATGTATTTGAAGACAACAACAATATATTTATTACTATTATATGCAATGCATTAATATTGCATTGAAATACAAAAACGTTTATCTAATGTGTTGTTATGTTATTKTATKACAACAAAAAAATTAGCGCTAAATATATGGCAAACAAATACATGTATAATAAATGCCTTATTTTATGTCAATCATTGATTGATTGCATCAGTCATTTGAAATTATTTCATAGCATTTRTTTAAATTAAAGTCATGTTTAAGACATTAATTGATAGTTTTGTTGTCAGCCATAGCCGGTCGCCGATTGTCATCGTCGGCGGTAAAGTCCTTCGCGGACAACAACAACAACAACGTAAGACGAGAAACCTATTGTCAACAACTTATTCAACGCCGAAACAGTCATACGATTGCCAGGACATCACTAGCAGTTGATCCACACAGAAAGCATACATTAGATTTATCATTATCATCGACAACAACAACAATGTCTCGCTTGATTACCGTTGCCGCCACCGCTGACGCATCATTACCATCAAAGCCGTCGGCCGCCAACTATACAACAATTGCCATCGAAGGTAACATCGGTTCGGGAAAGACAACATTCCTGCGACATCTTCAGGAGTTCAATGCCCAGACTGTACGACACGTSGAAGCGTTTGCCGAACCGATCAAYCAGTGGCGTGACATACGTGGTATCAATTTGTTTCAGTTGCTTCACGAAGACATCAATCGCTGGTGTTTTCCATTTCAATCGTACGTACAGTTGTCGATGTTGGCCGTACACCAGRCACTGCCCACTCGGCCCGAAGTGACCATCAAACTAATGGAACGGTCGCTATATTCGGCTCGTTATTGTTTTGTCGAAAATCTCTATCGACGCCAATGTATGCGTCCGGAAGAGTACGCTATTATTGACGAATGGTTTCAATATCTGGTCAAAAACGAAGAACGAGTTGGCGTTGATCTCATTATCTATTTGAAGACCGACCCGGAGGTGGCCTTCGAGCGCATTCGTAAGCGAAATCGGGTCGAAGAGAAGGGRCTGACCATTGATTACTTGCGCGACTTGCATGACCTACACGAACAATGGCTGGGCGCCGGACAACTTAGCGATAACAAGTTTGCCGTACCGGCACCGGTGATCACCATCGATGCCAATCAACAGTTGGATGTGGTCAAGAAGCTATATGATAGCCATTCGGCCGACATTATCAATGGCACTGTCTTTAGAAGCGAACCGGAAACCGGTTCCCAATGTGTGTAATCAAATCAATACGATATTTATTAGTCATTATTATTATTATTATTATTATTATTATGAGATCAGCTCTGAAGTAACTGTTTTTTTTMAAAAACAATTTTTTCTTTTATTTCACTACACATTCATGTGAAACATCCATTTTTTTGTATTTCAAAAAAATAGTTATATAAAACTAATTATGAAATAACAATACAATCAGTATTGTCGATGAATTATTAATATTTTTATATTAACTGATTGTTTATTGTATGAAAACTTTTTTTTTATTATAATTATTGATTGATTTATTTTTTTTAAACATTTTAATTACCAGTATTATACTGTATATTTTTTTAAAACTAGAAATCTGTATTTTATTAAATAACAGATTTTGTTTAATTGCAAACAAAAAATTACAATAATTTMATTAATAATTTAATTACTGAAATTTAATCGAAATAAATAAATTGAAATATCAGTTAATAGTCAATAAAACAAAAACAATCACACATTTACCGGTAAAACTTTTTATAATAATAAAAAAGTCACAATTTTTTTAATTTTAAAAAATTATTATTATTATATATATWTACAATACAATAAAATCCAAACAATTTTTTATGTTTAAATAATAATGTATATTAAAATCATTCATTATCTATACATAAGGGAAGGGAACATATATCAGTCATCGATGTCCTCCTGGATCAGCGATTCCAGTTTGTTGTGTACTCTTTCCATATGAAATCTCATTGCCTGCCGATTCTTGTAGCGCCGTTCACAGCCCGGCCACTCGCACCCGTAGGGCCGTTCGCCCGTATGTTTACGTTCGTGTGCCTTCAAATGATGGGCTTCGGTAAAGCTGGACAGCGGTGTATGAATGGTCATCAAAAAACAAATTGACAAATTATGTTATTTAGGATTACATACAGACACACATAAATACCATATATATATATACCTAGACTCACAACCATCCCATTCGCACCGGTATGGCTTTTCACCGGTATGTTTGCGTTTATGTAAATGCAATCTCTGTCTATAACACGTCTGATAGCCTAAACAATAGTATAATAARCATTCAAATTATAYTGTATATTGATTTATATATAAGTGTTTATATCAATGATTTATTGATTATTAAYTATACCACAGCCGGGCCACTGGCACAGGTACGGCATAATACCGGTGTGCACTTCGTAGACATGTTTGTCCAGTTGTTCCACTCGAGTAAACGAATCATCGCAATCGTCATAATGACAGTGAAACGACTTGAGATTTAGATGAAGATTTGTGTGWAGTTTTAGTGAACCCTTTTTTATATTTTTATAAACAAAAAAAAATACATATAAATTMAAATCATTGAATCAATCGATCAATCAATACCTTTATGTGAAAACTTTTATGACAGTCGGGCCACTGGCAAACGTACGGCCTCTCACCGGTGTGAACGCGCAGATGTGTCGACTGGTAGTCACRGGAGAGGGAAGACAATAAAAATGACAATCAATTTATGGCACTAATATTGCCYAATAGTTTGTATGTCGTATATGACATACCAACTTATTATTGGTGGGAAACGCCCGTTCACAGCCCGGCCAATTGCATCGGTAACGCATACAATCCCAGACCCGTTTCGAYGACCGACGCTTACGATTATCGGCAACAACGGCGGCCACTGTTGACTCGTCACTGGCTTTTGAGCCACTGGTGGTCTTCTTGTTGTTGTTGTTGTTGTTGTGATGAAACCTGTGATGAGCCGACAGTTTATGTTTGCTATCRCACCTGTAATGACAGCCCAACCACTCGCACGACCAGCTTTTGCCATCTTCTTCTGTYTGAYTATTGTTTAATACTTTACATTTGCGGCGTCTTTTGGACACATTTGCCGGCGACTGTATGTGTTGACGATGGCCACTATTACAACCACTATCACCATTACCGTCTGCGACCACTATCTGGTCATCGATTGACACTAACTTTACGTCCACTACGTCGGCCGCCGTCTCATCGGATGTCGTTACTAGTTGTGGCCATTCATCATCATCAGCGGCGGCGGCGGCGACATACGTGTCTATCAGTTCGCCCAATTGGTCACGCGGGCCGCCGTTGTTGGCCTCGCAGACACATTGYCTTAAGACAACAGTCGCCCTGTCTTTGATGGCCTCCAGATGYCTGATCTTAAGCTCGTAACGGGTCAACAGMTCTTTGATGGACTGATTTTCATGGATCAGCTGTTGATGATGTTGATTCATTGGTGATGATGGCATTGGTGTTGTTGTTTTCGTTGTCRTTGCTGAACATCAACTCCATGGCCAGCAGAGCGGATGGTTTTGGTGGTCACCAGTTGTTTATGAGTTACCGTATGTACASTGTTTTGGCCGCAAAAGTGATGTCATATATAAACAAACATTAAATTTATTTTTTTTTTTGTAAAAAAAAAAAACAATGTTTTCTATGCAAACAAACAAAACAGTAATAATTTGTTTTTGTTTTTAATTGACATTTCAGTACTACATATGTATTATTATTATTATTATTATTGATGTGTGAGTATTGCATTGAAATATACGGTATATAAAGTTATAAATAACGTTATTATAGTACAGTATTTAAAAGTATTATATTATAAAAATTTATAAAATGTTATTTTTTAGGATAAYATCAATTATAAAGTCAACAAACAAACAAAATCAAACAATAATTAACTTCAATGAAAATTTGTCAAAAAATTTTATTAATTAGTATTTCAATATTTAATATTTTTATGGACCAATTTTATTAGTTTTTTTAAAATTTAAGATGTAAAGTTTATATTACATTTAAATTTTATATTATACRATWCTATTAGATATAATTTTTTTAAAAATAAATTAATTCAATATTAATGTTTTAACAACAAAATATTGTATAATAAACAGTCTTATCAGTTAAAAATTATTTAACAAAAATGTTAAAGGATTTTAAAATAATATTAATTTAATTTTAAAATATATATCACTCAACAGTTAACACTAAACTACTGATATTTCACCTAAAAAACACAAAACTATGTGATTTTTTTATAAATAGGATTTTATAAATGTTTTATAAATTTCGTTCAACTATTATAACAATACTTTTTTATATATACTTTCATAATATTTCACGTGAAATACAAATATGAATAAATGAAATATTATTTATTTTTTAAAAAAACGAGATAAAAAAATCTGTTTAATAAATACAATTCAATTCAGTTTAGTTTAAAACAATTTGAATTATTGAAAAATGTTGTATATATAATACAATATATAAAATACAATTTACTATAAATTGTKATTTATTTGAATACACAGTCAAACGCAAACAAACCCTAATAGATATGAATGTYATCATTGGTTTAATGTTWTCTATCATTACTGYAGTCGATTGTCTACCAAATTAGTAATTATTTAAATTATAATTCAATTGATTACTATATATATATATATACATAAAAMTTATATAATTATTTTCTGTTGAATACTACTATCCAGTGATTGTGTTGATCCACAATCACTGCTATWTGTGCCTCAAATGGATAGTAGACTCTATGCATATAATGGCAAAGATGTAGTAATCAGTGAATTTCCTATCAAYCATCCAAACAGTATATATGCCATTAAATATATCGACTCATCGGATCCGTTTGCCTATATTTATCCAGGTAATAATTTTTAGATATATATATATATATATATAATTTTATTACATATAGTACAGTATAGTTTTTTTTAACAAATAAAACAAAGTTTTTAAAAAAACTAATGGAAAAKAAATATATATTTATATTTTTTATAACTTTTAGATAGTTTACACAATTTCTGGATTTATAATAATGGATTCAAYGAAACAATTCATTATTTACGTAAAAATAGTATTAGTGCTCCGTATGCTTTAGATTATTATGATATCAATATTGTAGACAAAAAATTTGATTACAAAGATGTCACTTTTGTAAAAGATAAMTATCCATTTATTATTGAACATAAAATTGATGAAAAACAAAAATGGGTTAAGTATAGAAATTATTGATTATAATATCAAATATGATTTTAATTATATATATATATATATAAAATTTTTATCTATCCTATTATTTAAATAATATATTTTTTGGATTTTAGAAAATTGAGAACATCCGCTGTCCRAATGATAATAGAAATTATAATATTGTTTTTATCAGTAAATCGACTGAAMGTAAAGTTTTATTAATCATATATCCAACAAAAGATATTATCGATGAAAARCCACTGAATTTAACAATAAATGCTGTATTTGTTGTCAATGTAAGCGCCGGTAATGATGTGAATGAGTGTATAGTATCCATGTATTTAAGTTATGAAATCAATTTGTCCGCATTATATGACATACATTTACATACGGATAGAGACAATATTCAAACCACTATATCGACTATATCGAGACGATCCACATATTATGTATGATTTTCACTCCTATACTATATATTTTGAATATTTTAAAATCATTTACTAAAACTATTGTATAAATTTTTTTTGAAGCCTAATAGTGTATGGGTTTTAGGCGATAACGATAACTGTCACTATGAGATATGTTTGGATAATACATTCAAAGCTATCATCATTTGGGACAATAATTTYCATATATTTATTGGATACTATTGGTTGTATCGACACAAAGACAGTCAAAATCATCATCAAAGTAGACATTTAAGTGCTAACATTGAAAGACTTAATACGGCATATATTGATCCAAGAGATAGAAAAATTTATGTCATTCAGGACAGTCAGGTCTTTGAATTCAATGAAAACTCAAAGTCAAGTATTGGACAAAATATTGGTGAAGTATTTCCACAATTAACACAAACACCGGATGCCGTCCAATGTATACCAAAATCAAGAGTTTGTTATGTATTTCTGGTAATTATTTGAAATATAATTTTTCAAAAATATTATAAATTAATAGTTTTTTTTGTTATAAATAACAGAATGACTYGATTTGGTTATATTCAGTGAATTCAAACAATCAGTTTGTATTCAATACTACGGATACATTGAAAAGTCTTAATCTTCCCAATGGTTTGGACACAGCGTTTGTCGATGAAAATGGTGACCAAATTTATGTGAAAAACAATTACATGTATTGGTTAGAGTATGGAGTGATGAGACAGTATATCATTCAACGGTTCCTCAATTGTAGTGATAAACACTACTATCAAAGTCTGGAGACTTCTGAGTTGAATTCGTACCAAAAGTTTGTCAACGAAATCAAAGTCTATCATAAATCAGATTTTATTGAACATCCCTTTCCTATGAGTCAACAACTACTCTACGATCCCATAGATTCAGAACCAGATCCACACACAGACAGTACTCATTTAGATATGACTACACAATCAACAGTTAGCACTAAATTAGTTGATGTTTCACCAAAAAACACATCAATTGTTGTGATTTTATCTATAGGTATATGAATTTTATAAATATTATAATTATTGAATTAAAATATTAAAACCTATTTCAAAAAACAGTCGCATCAATAGTGCTATTACTGTGTGTTTGTGCTATTATTTTCTGGTTTGTCTTCAGATGTCTGTTCACTGAAGACAGAAAACAAAAACAAATTACAAGACATCGAAAAATACGATCAAAATTGAATACAATTAAACACAAATCGACAATTGATTGACACAAACAATAATTATATTATATTATATATATATATATATATATATATATATATATATATATATCAATAGAAATATATTTATTATTATTTTTTATCAAATATTTTAAGATTTTTTGTTTATTGTATATTTAAAAACTATTAAAATTTATTTATGATATATATATTAATATTTATATTAAAAATATTTTATTTTATTTTATTTTTAATATATATATATAATACTAATTAGATATAAAAAATTGAAGGGTAAATAAAATTAAAAATAAAATAACTAAACAAAATTAATATATCTAATTTATTTTTGTTATCTATTTAAAAAACAATGGGTTTTTAAAAATTAAATAGTAATTTACTGRTACTGCAAATTAAATTTATTAATATTAATATTATAATTTGTTAAAGTAAAAGTTAAGGCTAGTATTTAAATAATATTTTTTTAAGTTCATTTAAATAATTTAAAAACTTATTTTTGTTATATTAATAAAAAATAATAATAAATACTAATACAATAGATTAATAATATGATGAATTATTATTGATTGAAATAGTTATTGTAAATTTTGTATAATAATTAATTAATATTAATAAATTTAATTTGCAGTACCAGTAATTTACTATTTAATTTTTAAAAATTCATTGTTTTTTAAATAGATAACAAAAATTACTAATACAATAGTGTAAAAAAAAGTATTTTATAAAAAAATAATAAGAAAATGTATTTCTATTGATATATATATATATAATTTAATTATTGTTTGTGTCCATCAATTGTCGATTTATTTTTAATTGTATCCAATTTTGATCGTATTTCTCGATTTCTTGTAATTTGTTTTTGTTTTCTGTCTTCAGTGAACAGACATCTGAAGACAAACCAGAAAATAATAGCACAAACACACAGTAATAGCACTATTGATGCGACTGTTTTTTTTTAAATAGGTTTAATATTTTAATTCAATAATTATAATATTTATATAATTCATATACCTATAGATAAAATCACAACAATTGATGTGTTTTTTGGTGAAACATCAACTAATTTAGTGCTAACTGTTGATTGTATCATATCTAAATGAGTACTGTCTGTGTGTGGATCTGGTTCTGAATATGGGATCGTAGAGTAGTTGTTGACTCATAGGAAATGTATGTTCAATAAAATCTGATATATATATAATTTCGTTGACAAACTTTGTGTCCAACTCAATTGTCGATTTGATAGTAGTTTTATCACTACAATTTTGATGATATTTTCATCGATACTCTAACCAATACATGTAATTGTTTTTCACATAAATTTGGTCACCATTTTCATCGACAAACGCTGTGTCCAAACCATTGGGAAGATTTAGATTATTCAATGTATCCGTAGTATTGAATACAAACTGATTGTTTGAATTCACTGAATATAACCAAATCGAGTCATTCTGTTATTTATAACAAAAAATAACTATTAATTTATAATATTTTTAAAAAAGATATTTCAATAATTATAATATTTATAAATTCATATACCTATAGATACCGGTGTTTGTATTAATTGTGGAAATACTTCACCAATATTTTGTCCAATACTTGACTTTGAGTTTTCATTGAATTCAAAGACCTGACTTTCCTGAATGACATAAATTTTTGTATCTTTGGGATCAATATATGCCGTATTAAGTCTTTCAATGTTAGCACTTAAATGTCTACTTTGATGAGTTTGACTGTCTTTGTGTCGATAC